TTTTTTATCCTTGAGGACAAGGATGTTGTCGACGAGGGAGTATTGTTACAGGATTAAGCTATGAGAATAAGAGTTGGTTCAATTGCATTATCAATTTCAGTTAAGTCTTTAAACCGGTCTATCGGTTTGGTACATCACAAATGTATTTGTAAGGCTTTACGCCAATCTAAGAGAAATCAATCAAACAATTATCTTCTTCTCTAATCCCTAAAATCTCTGATCAAATCATCATCATCATTCCATCGATACAATTCCTTCGAGGTGGGTTTCTTATCTTCATACCACCTTCTAGGCTTGTTATCACTTTTCTTAGGATTCATATAGTGAATCACTAGAGAGGATTTATCCCTTAAATCAGTTTCTGTAACAGTAAACCTTTTGATCACGCACAAAACAGTCGTGGATATACCGACCATGGAGCTCCAGCTCCTTCAGAAACGGTTTCAAAGAATCCCAAGTTTGAGCTTTTGGATCGAATACCCATTCCCCACTCGAAGTTGCAGCCTCCTAACAGGTAAATCTTCCCGTCCACGACTCCAGCAGCCGCGTTAGCTCGAGCGAATCTCATGGAAGGGACTTGACGCCATTTGTGAGTCCGACAATCCAAGAGAAACACATCGGAGGTGGCCTTTCCCTTGATCAATCCACCGATTACATATATCCCTCAATCAAGTATGACCACGGAGGATGCTTCCTGAGCCTGAGAGGGGAGGGAAGGGATCGGGATCAGATCGGAGGAGGTTTCTCTACGGCGGAGGATATACCACCGTGGGTTTGGGCCAGGAGGAGGGGCTCTTATGCATACATAGACGTCACGTACGTTTCGGTGAGACCCATCAGTGATCGCGTTGTGTAGAGATCAGACGAAGCCACTAGAGACCGGTAACTCTTGGTGGCGAGTGATAAGGCTCCATGGTCCGATTTTGGGACTCGAGCTAGGCAGTTCAGAGTCATATCATCTGGTAGCGACAATAAAGGACACCACGACGGAGACGGATCCAACTTCATCTTCTTATGCGGCGGTGACAACATCCGACGATGCAGAGGTTGCCTCTTTTGTTTCTTCATCTTGTGTGTCTCACAGAGATAGACAGAAACAG